CAAACATTTCATTACCTGGCTAGGTAACATCTTCAGTGCTAGAATGGAGTGGGGTTTGCTCTCTGTGGCCTGCCCTGCCGGTGTCGGTGGGGGGGGGGGGTTGGTTTTGTTCCTCTGGTAGTTCCTTGCTTAGGGGATTGTTTACTTCTTGATTGTGTGCCTGGTGGTAATCTCTGCTTCTCTGGGTGATGATTGCTGGTGAGATGGGATGCTGTGGAAAACTAAAGCAGGCAAAGGTTATTTCCTTTGTTTTATAACCACTGCTTAGCATGTTTTGTGGGTTTTTTCAGAAACCTACCACTGAGAACTTTTTACCCTTAGAAAACATTTTTTCTTAATAGCCTCCCATTTAGGAAACCTGATACTTGATTGAATTGACTCACGTGGTAACCTTGGGGCTTGCAGAGGGTGCTGAGGTGGGTCTCTGCCTGGGCTGCTCTTTTCATCAGCTTGCCCTTTCTCTCCTTTTTCTCTGTTCCAGGATCGGTGGGGACTCCGCTGCCAGGAGTAAAGGTGCGCATCGCCACCGGCAGCTGGACGGAGGATGGTTCTGCGTACTGCATCCATGCTGAAGGGGATGAGACCGGCACAACGGTAATTCAGTGGGTACTGCTCGTTGGACCTGGAGGATCAGAGGGTGAAGAGGGATTAAATAAATGGTTTGAGGGCCAATCGGTGCTTCCATATTGTTAGCCATGTTGTCCCATCTTGCAACTGAGAGGAAACAACTTAACTGAACCAGACATGCTTTGTGTACTGAAGACCCTCCCACACACTCCGTTTTGAGCATTTCCAGTTCAAGACAGCAGTAGGTCACTCCAGGTCAGGGTAGACCCCATGGCCTAGAGGGACAGCTTCTCGGAACATGGCAGGTCTCTTTGCTCTCCTCCTGGAAATCTTCTACACATCTTGCTTTGTACCAAAACGCCACAGTTACCTTCTAACAAGTGCCCATTCATTCACACAACAGTTGTGGTATTCTAGAACCCACTTCGGGTTATTTTAGTCTGGGAAGGAAATGGGTGTCTAGCATGCTGCTTTAGCCTCCAGTCGGCCTGCTCTCTTGCACCTTTTCTTGGTTTTGCATGCAAGTCCCTCTTAGTTGTTTCTTCTTGGGCTTTTAAGAGCCTCCTATACCCAGGGGTTCAGCAAGGACCCGTCTCCCATTTAATCCTATCCACGTGGAATTATATGTTTCTTCTCTGATTCCTTTTACTAAACATTAAACAGAATTGCTGTCCTGGCGCTGGATTTCATATTCTGGGGAGCCTCTACTACTACTACTACTACTACTAATAATAATATTAATAATAGCACCATTGAACACCCCATCGGCACTGAAAATGCCATCAATCAATTGCAAAAGGCAACTTTATTTGGAACCACTGATGTCCTGCGACGATACCTTTCACACCATCAAACAACCACATCTGCCTATCCCAGGTCCTTGGGAAGGACTTGATAGGTGGATAAAAAATGCCAAATCTAGTCTAAACATCTGGCTGACTGTGCGACCAACCATAATAATAATTAAATGTATATGCTGCCCAGTTCCCAGTGACTCTGAGTTGTTTACAAAATGTAAAAAAAAAAAATTAAAAATAAAGGAACACAAAACACAAACACAACACATTTAAATTTCGAATTTAATTTTAAATTTTACTTTTGAAGCAAGGGATAGAGAAAAGCTCCTTTTCTCTCCCCCCTCCTCTTTTAAAAGAGCATGAGACCAGTTCTTCACTGGAGAAGAAAACCGTACACGTGGCTAAATGCAGTCTTAGAACTTATTTTACAAGTCTGTCTGAGGATATTCTGCCTTTATCTCCTGCACAAGGAGGCCAGTGGAGACCATATTTGTCCAAATCCCCTTGTACCAATCCAGCCAAACCAGAATCCTTGAGGATTCCCAGAATGATGTGGCAGAACCCGAATTCGTTGCCTTTCTCTCCATCCAAACCCCGCAAATTAATGTTTAAAGCCCAGCTCCTGGAAGCAAGCTAAGATCTGCCAATCAAGCACGCAGCATTCCTGCTTATTAAACCTCCGCTGTGTTCTTCTTTTTCCTCCTGTGAGTCGTGTGGGTCAGAGAGGCTCGGCTGCCCTTTGGCCACCCTTGGCTGGTCCGTGAATGTTCCTGCTGCCCTCGCTGGGCTTTGATCCAATTATGCAGCTGATGCCCCTTTCCAGCAGGCTGTCCTGAGGGGACTTCCCCGCTTTCTGCCCAGAGAGGCGTGTCTGAACAGGGCCCAGTAATCCTTTTATGGAGGGTGGCGATCATCCCACCTTTGTTCCTGGCCTTCCATGCAAGACGTTCCCTGCTTTCCTGGGTCATTTGAGTTGAAAGAAGGGTCTGGACCCCCCTACCTTTGAGGCAGCACTTACTCCTGCTTCCTTGCTCTCTGCCAGACTGACCTGGCTAGAGGCAAAATGGTCTTAATGTTTCCTATATGAATCATTAACACTTTAAACGGTGCTTCTCAGTTTGCAAGGTCTTCAAGGCAGCTTGCATCCCGGAATAAAATTATTCATAATAACAATGAAGTCCACATTTGACTGAAAGCAAGCCATCAAGCATTATACAGTGAGCAGAAATAAGAGCAGATTAAAGTAGTAAAAGATACCATCATATTATTGCTAGCCGGCAGCATGAGAGAATAAAATAGTTTTGATGTATTGCCTAAAAGATCAGCTGTAGAAGGCGGCCTCGTATGGCTGCTTCCACAGATGTCTGAATTTGGGTGCTGCTACAGAAAAGGTCCTCTGTCCATGGTCATTCTGGAACAAGATTTTGGACCATGATCTTAACCAGTATGTGTTTCATATAAAGGATGAAGTTTCTAAAAAATATATCAACCACCTCAACATCTGTTAAAATACAATCTCCCTCCAAAATTAATGATTGGACATGCTCTGAACTATTTAGCCTTTGTTTCTGAAATTCCTCAGCACAATTTACAAGATTCATAGTCAATCTGCAACTGAGAAGGAAACACTGAAGCCACAAGTAGAAATTCCCCAGGGAGACCTTGTGCTTAGGCATGGCAAGCCTTCCAGAAGGTGGGGAATCAGACAGTAAAGGAACCAATGTTGTTTAGCAACCCCCCAGTTTCTGGCACACCCCAAGAATCAATCATGTGCTTGGTGGGGAAGCTTTCTGGCAGTTTCCTTTCTGTCCTGTTCTACATCCTGTAGAATTTGGATAAAGCGTAGGAAATGGCCACCAAATGCAGCTAAAGTTGAACTCATTTAGGGTTTGCTAACTCTGAAAGGACCAAGGATGGTGATTATGAAGTCTTGTAAAGTCCTGTTGAGACGGCAGCCTTTCGCAGCCTGGTGCCGTGGAGCTGCCCAGAGAGAACGTAGCTTGCAGATGGGGGAAGGGCTGCTCCGTTAGGCTGGAAGGAAAGCTGGGAGTTGGTCCAACCCACCTAGAGGTTCTCAGTTGGGACTGCTGTAAAAGGAGGGAGGGAAGGATCAATGGTTGTGAGCCTCTTTATGTGGTAGCGATGCACCTCTGAATGCAGTGGCAGTAGAGGGCTCGTGGTTGCTCCTTGGGGGCTTCCAAAACAGAAGAGCAGGAGGAACCACTTGGACCCACCTTGGTCTGATCTGGGTAGATTCTTCTTATCTGTCCAAGGCTATTTTACTCATGAAGAACAAAATAAAACCATTTTAGAGAGGGAAAGGGAAAAAGCTTGGCTGACTCTACTTTTCTGCAGTGTACTGTTTAGTTAGTTAGTTAGTTAGTTAGTTCTGAGCTGATTCAGACCCTCAGTTCAGTGCAGAACATCGATCTAACTCAGTGATTCAGATATAGATTCCCAAACTGATTCAGGCAAGCCCCTTTTTGCGCATCAGTCAAACCAGTTTGAGTGGGTTAATAAAATCTTTGAATCAGAGCTTTGTTCTGTCCTAAATTAATATTGCCAGGAATACACACACACACAGACTGCATATAAGCCTTATTCCAAAGGCTTGCAAGGCATACAAGAAGACTTACAGTTTTAAGATACCTGTTAGTACCTTTGTACGGTTTTAAGTAGATGATGACCTGGGGGCAGGAGGGCTTCATCCTAAAAATGAAATAATGTTGCAGTAACAATAAGGCTTTGAGGTCCTTTGCCAGCGGCCTTATTCTTTGCTCCTGTTGGTGGGTACCCGGCAGTCTCCACCCTTGTTAGCTGTAGCAGGGAGAAGCTCCTCGGAAGAGGTTCTCTGCTTCCCATCACCCCATGAACTCATCTGTCCCATTTATGTCCATCCTTCCCCCAAGTATTTCATAGGAATATAGCTTCCTTCTTATCTCCTGCCTGTCTGAGGTGGCACTGAAGAAAACTTGGTTCCTGTGATACCTTGCTACTTGCCCCCCCCCAGCTTGAGAGTACTGGGTAGAAGAAACGACTATTCTTTTCTGGTTCCCCAGCCCTCGCTATTTCATCTTGCTTTGTTCACAGAGATGCATATTTCATAGGCTGTAGCTTCCCAGCTGGCAGGATCCTGCGATTCTTGGAGCATTGCAGCTATTGTCTGCTTTGTTTGCCTCTTTTGCAGCCCCCGCCCACCAATTTGGAAAGAAGAAGGAAAAAGAAATTACACTCAGTTTGGAGAGATAAACTCTGAGCCACGGCAGTGAGGCATTCTTGATAGATAAAGCTGGTTTGTGGAGTCCTTGGTGCGCTCTGAGCTTGGTTGTTTACTTGCAGACATTTCATTACCCAACTACATAACATCATCAGTGCTGTTATCAGTGCACTGATGATGTTACCTAGTCAGATAATGAAACGTCTGCAAGCAAACAACCAAGCTCAGA